TTAGTGGAGAACTAACTCGATCCCATTCCGATGTGAGCGGGGCAAGGGTACCCCCCCTGCTGTGACCAGGCACCCAAACGAGCCTGATATTGAAGTAGCCTGATGCTAATTCTAGCGAGGACAGACACTCCTTGACTAGCTTTGAATGCACGGTTCGCGCACTCAAGGCTTGTATTGCCGCTCTGCTGTCGGAGTGAATGCTCACCTCTCTAAACGAAGCTACACTACGTAACAGTACTTGATCGCGGCCACTTCCGCCTGAAAAACGCTATAGTGGTCCGGTAGCCTGAAGCAAAGATTGACGGAGAGCTTTTTACAGAAAACCCCCCCTCCAACTTTCCCTCCTAGCTTCGACCCATCCGTGAAAAAACTCACCGCGCCTCTTCTCCAGCGGCTTCTTCCCCCACATCTCCCTCGTCGGGATATGAGCAGAGAAAAAGCCGCCTCGAGAGGCCTCTGTGACGCAGTGATCCAAATTTTCAGGAATGCAGGTGAAGGAGGAGAGAATTGTGGCGTGTCCTTGTTCGGACCTCTTCACAAGCCCAGCTTTTCTGAGCCTAATAGCACACCTCGCAGCAATGCACCTACCGGCAATGTCCACGGGTGCTATATTTAATATAGCGTTGAGACCTATCGTTGGTGTGGTTCGCAGTGCACCGGAGATTCCGATGAGCGCCGCTCTTTGGACTCGTTCAAGCTTTTTAGCCAGGGTAGTCTTTTTGGGCGCCTTTCACCAGACGAACACACCATAGAACAGTATTGGCTTGACTACGGTTTCGTAGAGCCAGAACACCACCTTTGGTGAGAGTCCCCACCTTTTCCCTATAGCTCCCCTGCAGCAGTATAAGGCGACCGATGCCTTCTTGTTTCTCTCCTCGATGTTCGGCCTCCAAGAAAGCTTTCTATCCAGGATGAGCCCTAGGTATTTCACCTTATCAACAGGTTGAAGACGTGAACCCCCGAAGGAGGGGAGAGGCACATTGAGAGGGTAGCTCACTTAGCTTATGCACACAAATTCGTGGAATACATCGAGGACACGAAAATTCAGACCTTCGTCAGTGGAATACGAGTTAACACTATACGCTTCGCTGCATTATCATGTTCAAAATTGACGTTTGCGGAAACGGTTTCGTATGCTCTGACACAGGAAACTGTATCTCTGCTTAGCAATCAAACATTTAAAGCTCATAAAGTAGAAATAGAAAAGCACACTTGGGTGAACCAATTACTTGAAAAACTTGACAGCATGCAGAAAGCATTGGAAAAATCTACGGAGGCGCTTAAGAAAAATGATGGTGTGGCTAAATGCTTAAAGTGCGGAAAAAGTAATCAGTAAAATAATCCAGTTGGACGTAAACGCAAAGCTGACTGTGGATATGGGCGCATTACATTCTATAATTCAATCTGATCTGGTTGATAAAGAAATGAGACCATTAGCTAGGGAAAAGTTGCGTACTGCAACTGGAGAAGATTCCCAAGTTTTCGGAAATGTAATGTGCGAGATCGTATTTGGAATGGCAGTCATGTTACACAATTTTATAGTGGCAGATATCGTCCACGAAGTCATAATTGGAGTAGAATTTCTATCGAATCAAGGAATAAAGTTTGACATGAAGAACAGGATTATGACCCATACAAATATGGAAGTGCCACTTACGTTCGGTTACGATAATAAGTACAACGTTAGACGAGTGATAACAACAGAGAGCCAGCAGATTACAACAAAATCAGAGCAGTTACTTGGGTATGACAAAACTAGATAAACGCGTTCCAGTAAGAGTACTTAATGCAAGTTACCAATCAAAATCTCTAAAGGAGCTACTTATATTAGGACAGTGAAAAGAGATCAGGGCCTACCTTTGAGAGACTTATGGACCAGGTATTAAAAGGATTACACTGGAAGACCTGTTTGGTATACTTCGACGATATCATCGTGTTGGGTAAAAGCTTCGATGAACATCTTAAGGACTTGGAAGAAGTTTTCCAACGGAAAGCTAGCGCCGGTCTAATGCTGAGTCCAAAGAAGTGTTCCCTTTTCAAAAGGGAAGTAAGCTACTTAGGGTACAAAGTGAGAACGGAAGGCATTTGCAAGGCAATCAGCTAATGAAAAGATAGAGACAGTAAAAGATTGGCCCACTCCCAAAAATTTAGATGAATTGCTGAGTTTCCTTGGACTGTGCACTTATTATCGACTAACGTTATATCACAAGTCGTTGACAGGTATGAGAAAGTGGTTGCGTCAGAAAGAAATTATTGTGTAACTCGGAGCGAGTTATTGGAGTTGGTGAAATGCATCAAAAATGTTTACAAGTACCTTTATTGTCAACGTTTTCACGTAAGGACAGATCATGCAGCATTAAAATGGCTTCTACAATTCAGAAACCCAGAAGGACAGTTGCCACGGTGCATTGAGATACTCCAAAGCGACTTCACTATAGATCATCGCAAAGGTAGTGGTCATGGAAATGCGAAAATGTTTAGATCATGGATAAAATGGCGAACACAATACTAGAACAAATCAGAATCGGCAAGAAAATGCCAGAAGCAACTAGACAGTGAATTCTAGTTATCAGAATGTTCTAAAAACGAAGTTTTGTTAAAGTTCTACTATATAAGGTCTTAAGTTGTCGGAAATAGAAATAAAGACAAATGTGTAGCATTAAATTGAGACTTTAATTTAACATCCAGTGATCGAACTCAAGATAGATGGGTAGAAGGTATTAATCGAGAACCTATTTAGTGCCATAACTAAGCTCCACAATAAGATACAAAACTATAATTTGGTACAACGAATAATATTATCTATGGTTTGAAATATTTTGCAAAAGTGGTCTTGGCACCGTTCCTCCTAATAGGTTTAAGAAAAATATCTGCCAAACCAATCAGCTACATTAACCAAAGCTTTTTGGCACCAAACTATTGTATATATTCGTATGTGCTTCCCAACTGTACTCTGCAACACTTTTGCATTGGAAACAATGTTGTATTGTTTTTCTTTGAGATATTTCCAGTAGAGTTGACTGACCGAAACGATTTAAGTGAAAAAATAAAATAAAAATCAACAACAGAAAAGTTAAAAAATGTACAAAATAAACAGACGTACATACTTCAAATTGTATAGTAATGTTTCAAATTCAACGAACGAATATAGTACGAAATATTTATTTTAAATTGAGTTTATAAATCAATTTAATTTCATTGAAATATCTCACACACATTTTGGGAATAAGCTGTCGTATATCAATATTTCTTAATTTATTATTTTTAATGTTATTAAGACATTAACTTATTGACCGATATGTACGCTATAAATTCAACCGTATGTTTTAATTTCGTATACGAGTATAAGGTATATGGGAACTAGGGTTAACCGAAAGTCGGAAACTCTTTCTATTTGGTAATTGACAGTTGGGGGATGTATTTAACCTCTCTCTACTTTAAGCTCACATATTAATTATTTGGAGTTATTTTCGCGCCCACCAATTAAAATTTCGAATTGTGCTGTGTTTGGTTGTTTATTTTCAGAATGTTCCCTATTAAAAAAATTATTTTAGTAAATTAGAACAACAAATATGACTTTTTAACATATATTTTTTGTCCGTTGCATTTGCCAGTTTGATGTCGAACCAAAAATTCGTTAAAGGCACGAACTCGCTTACGCAGTACGGAATTCTGAGGCGAAGGGGATACGCAAGTGCGCAAACTGCAATTTCCAATGCACTTGTCGCCTTACAGATTTTCTTTTTTACATTACCGAGCATTTTCACTTGCACAGATCTATCCCTATCTATGTCGGTCACATTTTATTGAAACAAAGTGGACAAACTTTCTTAAAAATAATGTAGTTTAGCACTGAATATGAATAAATTGGTGTATAAATTGGTGTTAAATATATTATATTAATTTCCGATCTTCTGGTTGATTATTTCCCCATATACCCCATACATTAAATTTAGATTAGATAGAATAACATATGAATAATTATGCTACAATGTTAGCACTCACGAAAGACATATTATTTCCCTTTTTTAATAAAACGCTCTTTTTATGTTTAAATTAAAAATGTTTATTTTTTTTATTAAATGTTATTTTCACAACCTTTGAACTAAACGTTAATACCACGATTTTAAAAAGGGCGGTAGCGCAGATAGCGATTATACGGTGACGTTGCGCAAAAGAGATCGGAATTATTTCGAATGTGGTGAATTGAAGATCCAATCCCTCTTTTTGTTGATTGTGTGGGGTGTCATCGTGTATGGTGGTAACTTCTGTGCTGACATCGTGTGCAGTGTGGTCGTTTATGTTGTGAGTGCGTGTTGTGTTCCAAGGTGTGGTGTGTTGTATTAGGGTGTGACATTATTTACCCTGAAGAAGCGGAAGTTGGAAAGGGAGTTTATAGTCATTTAAACAACATATATCTCATTTGAGTTAATAATAATTTTAATATATATATTTAGGACACGAGCAAAATGTAGTACGAAATTGAGTGAGTCTACGACCTATAATATACATAAGTTAATAAGATACCAAATTTGATTGAAATTTATTCGGTTTATTCGATAAATGCATGTTCAACATTTTCATACATTCGCAACATGTTGCTGCAGAGCATAACAGTTTTTCTCCCCCAACGCTCAGTGGTTTCGCTTGTATGGGAGCTGCAGCCAAAAATACTTTTAAATGAGATATCGTTTTTAAATTTTCTCCAAAAATTAATAAAAATATTATAAATATATCATAAAAAAATTGGGCACATTGTACGACTATATCCTATAGCTCCCATAGTAACAGTTAGTAACGGATCGATCAATTTAAAAAAATTTTTTTTTAAGGGAAACTGGGCGTGGTTTTATTAATGATAATACAATACAAAAGTAGAATACATACTTATGAGAATATTCGCATTGGTACTCAAAAATGTTGTGATAACAGAAAAATAAACCAAGAAAACATTTATATATTATAATTTGGAAACGAACAACAATTTTACAAATTATTTTCATATTTTCTTATCAAGTAAATCTATAGTTGACTTTAGTATCGTTGATTTATGGTTATATGCAAGTTTTCGGTGCTCAGTAACAAAGGGATCAGAGCATAACAGCAATAAGTTCATTAAAGTTGCATTTGATGCGACGCGTGAAATTTTCCGGGTACGTTGTAATCGTAATCTTTTTATATCTTTAATCCTTGCCTCTGCAGGCTCTTCAGAAAGTTCACCAATCGAACCCAGGGAATGCTTTGTAGCTTCAAAACCATGAAGTAAAATTTTATGAACCGGTGGAGAGAGCTAAAACCAGAGATATTTTCAATCAGCTGCTTTGCGGTTTTAAGAGTATACGATCGAGAGCTTTATACTCACTTTGAATAGATAGCTCAGTGCAGATGGAAATTAATAATTAACTGCAAGATACCGAAGCAGGTATGACCCAGGTTGAAGAGTATACGATAGAGAGTTTATACTCACTTTGAATAGATAGCTCAGTGCAGATGGAAATCAATAATTAACTGCAAAATATCGAAGCAGGTATGACCCAGGTATGATAAGACTAGAACCAAGGACTTATTATATAGATCCAGGAATGGGACTGGTCGTTTGGAGAATACGCGCTAAAAATGGGTCTGTCCTATAACAATATTTGCCACAGCTGCAAGCTAGAAGAGAAAAAGGAAACTGATTTCCTGTGAATGCCCAGCTCTAGCACAAACTAGACACAATATTTGGAATACATCAAGCACCAAATCTGAAATGATGAAACGTGATAGCTAGATTAGAGGTCCGACGATAATGCATCAAAATGGCGCATCCAGCGCTAATTGGGCACGGGAAGCACCTACCTAACTACCGTAATATCGGCCGATGTATCAGGATTGTTGAAAACACAAAAATACAACACAACAACAGGGCAAAACAGTGGCTTTGCAAGGCAAACTTGACTTTAAATGAAAAAGATGACGTTAATATATTGCAGATTATATCCATATAGACAAATTTGGGCAGCTACACTTAACTCTTTTATTACCTTAAAGCATACATTGCTCCGATTTTTTTACTTAAGTTGGAACATCTGTCGTGACAACACATGCAAAGTTACAAGTCATTCTGTCAATTAATTCTTTGTTTACAAGCTATTTAAAGTTGGCGTGTCAGAGTATTTTTTTAAATGAAGAAAATTTAATATTTCTTGCAAAAGGAATTTTGTTGATTGATTATCTGCAGAAAAGTAAAACAATAAACTTTGAATATTATTGAAGTCTTTTTGATTAGCTTGATGAAAAAATTTATAATTATTGATGATAATTTTTCATTAAGACAAACCTGCTCACAAAGGTGTTTTAACAATGACGAAATTCAGCGAATTAAAGTACGAATTGCTTGAGCATCTACCGTATTTACCAGATTTGTCTCCCAGCGACTAGTATCTCTTCAGAAACCTGAAACAATTCCTTAGTGGAAAGCGTTTTTCGTCGAATGAAGAAGCTATTACAGTCGTAGACGGGTATTTTGCAGCGCTTCCGGAAAGCCATTACAGAGAAGGCATAAAAGGATTGGAGGATTTTTGGAATAAGTGTTTGGAATTTAGGGAAAGGTATTTTTTCATTTCGAGCGCAGACAATTTACAACCAACATATATATAAACATATTAAAAACGTACATAAAATGCATAAAATACATAAACAAAATTGTCGATTTTATATGATAATAACTACAACACAATTTAGTTGTTGTTAATTTTGTAAAATAAAACAAATACCTTAAACTTCAAAATAATTAAAATTAATAAACGTAATAAATCGCCTGACCACTTTAAACTTCGTTTTTGTTGTGAAATATTCACTCTGCGTGAACCTCCTCTTAAAAATGAACAAGTGATCAGAGCTTCAATGCTATTTTAAGAAAGTCCTTTCTGATTTCCAGAAAAAACCGGTTTGCCATTAAGAAGTTTGGACATTTTAGAGACAATTTGTTGACTTTTCCGCTTTTTTTTTAAACATGATTTTTATTATTATTTTTGGCCTATGATCGAAATCACTGTGCAAAGGTTGGATGTGTCCCCTAAAACCAATCGAAATAGATTTATATATTATATATACATGTAAATGAGTTAAATTCCGGTTAATCGTCCGTCTGTCCGTGTAAGCGATAACTTGAGTAAATATTGAGATATCGAGATGATTGGTTTCGGACCATTGTCACTCCCACAAAATTCCGTCAATCAAAAACCTATTAAGTGCTACAAGTATAACTAAGCCACAAATTATGATGTAAATCAATAATTTAGTACAGGATATCGGAACATGAATGGGCATTTGTAGTTGAAAAGTTTTTTTGTTAAGTGAGCGTAGCCTCGCTATCTAATAGGTTTAATACAAATATCTCACAAGCCACTAAAGCTACTCAAACCAAGCTGAAAAAGTCTTTCTAGCAGTTCTTCACACATTGTGAAATCGAATGATACTTACGCCCAGTCCCGTTATAACGGTTATGTTGAAAACTACTAAAAGTCCGATAACTTAATAAGTAAACGCGTCAGAGATATAAACGTTTTTGGTACGGAAGGGTTCATGGGAGCTGGTGTTAAAACTGAATAATGTGTGAGGCACCGATCACATTTGTGAAAAATCCTATATCTCAGGAACTATTCGATCAATTTCAACCAAACTTTGAGCATATCATTATTTTGACTTTTTATGATACGTTGTGAAAATGGGCGAAATCGGACTAAGTCGTGGTTGTACTATAATTCCACATATCAATATTTCAAATTCCGTATGATTCTTTCACTTTACAACATATAAATTGATAGGCAATGACGTTGTCGAAATAAAACTTTCCACACAAAGATTATTTAAGGTATGAAATTACACAATCAAATCGGACCAAAACTTTTCAAAGCCTTTGATCTCGATTATGTGTACCTCAGTGCCCATTGCTGACTTTTACCGAAAATATCTTCCAAACTGTAAAGTACCTTAATGAAAGTCTGAGAGCATCGTTTTCTGGAAATAATATGTTGTGATGACTAAAATGGATAACATCGATGCAATACTTTCCCTTCACCTTCCAAAATGTAGTAATGAAACTAAGTGAGTGTACGATTTACATACATACATTATTCATAAGTTAATAAGATACCAAATTTGATTGTAATCTATTCAGTTTCTTTGAACAACACAGCTCTACAAAACAAAAAAAAATGTTTGCACTGAATACAGTTATGTTATCAAATTTTGATGTTTTCAAATGCCCAGATTACGAATTTTTTCATGAAAGTATTGCGTGTGCTCTAGATTTTATAATAAGTGCATATCTTATATTCTAATCAATTATCGGCTTGTTAGCAATCAAATTTATTTTTGTAGTCAAAGCTTTGGACGTGGAATGATATGGTTTTAATTACATTTATAAAAAATTTCGGCAGTTTAGTATGGAAAAGTTCACTTACTGCTGGTGCTTAAAAAAAGATTGACAGGAAAATTATAAAAGAAAAGCTCTTTATATTGAAACTAGCTGACCCGGCAAACGTTGATCTGCCAAATACGTTATTTTTTAAAAGTATTTGTGTGTTGGGGATGTAAATATAATTGAAAAAGGAATGAAGAGTTGTAGACGATTAAAGTTTACTTTATTTATGTTAATAAATTATTCTTAATTGAAAATAAACAAAGATTAATTTCCCAACGAAATCGAGTAAACAATATTTTTGCTCAGTCCGTACTTAGCTAACAGAAACCAATTGGAGGGTTTACCCACTCGAGAACATGTCACAAAGATTTGTCCGTGGGAAAAGCATATTGTATCCAAATCTTAGCCACAAACAGACAACGTTTGGACTTGTGACTTATTGATCATCATTGCGAATCTATATCTAAAGTTAAGTGCGAATATTTTGTGAGTTAATGAATGTGCAAAAATTCGTCGGTAATTTTATGCATCCAGTATTTTAACGCATAGCAATTCCTCCATTGACAATATCTAACAGTTGTTATAAGAAGTTTCGGCAGATGAATCTTGAAGCATATGAACGCGCATGTTTACTGTCATATGTACTTTTTAAATATTACGCCATAGTCGCTATGATTTTAAGCTAGCGTTGATTTCATTTGCATACGTTGAACGTGGAATAACGGGAAGCATCTGCCTGAAATCACCTGAAAGAAGTAAAGAGTTCCACCAAATAGTTTGTCGTTGTTTTTTATATCTTTCAAAATTCTATCCAATGCAAACGAAAGTTTGTGTGCCCTAGTGCATTCATCACAAATGATAATTTTACACTCTGGCCATGGACGATTGTTTTTTTTTTATTTCACACTGCATATTTGTTATTTTAAATGTCTAATAGTAGCTTAAATGCTGAATGAGCTTCTCCACCTACATCTTGCTGATGACAATGCAATGATTCTCTATAACAATCAATGCTTCATTGTACATTGCGTCACTGAATAATATCATAAGATTGTTGCACCTTGTACGTTGTCGATATAATCGGCCCTATTCCCGTTGTCGTTTTCGTTTTAAAACAATTGACCAAAAAACACTTTGGAATTTAACGTGTCGCCCTTTTGCGGCCATTAGCGCCTAAACAGGGTGAGCTAAGATGGCGCCAACTATTTGATTCATGTAGCCGCACAGGTGCACGTTAATTAGAGACATCAATCTATGATATAGGTTGAACAGGTGAGTGAACTCGCTTTGTCATTCATTTCACGATATGGTGAAGGGTAACATGAGGTAACACATATCTATCAAAAGTAAAGCACGATTATGTATCTCCTCATTCATCTCAATATCGTGATTTCTGGAACTGACACGAATTTGATGTAAAATATCTTCTGACATATTATCCTTGTATTTGTGCCACAGGTTACATGGGTTTGATGGAAAACATGTCGAAATTATGATAGCGAATAATGTGTGTATCTGACTTGGAGATGCAGAGATAATGGCTTCAGCGATTGTCGTATCCCAATGACTATCGTTTTCTAATAAAAACCAGACAGTATTAACTGGGTTATAAATACTTTTTTCTATGGGAGAGTAGAGTTCAGAATACTACATAGGTACCAATAGATGAAGTAAGTTATTCTTTAACTACATTCTATATAAGTACAAAAATAAATACCTTAAATGTTGGATTAAATCCTCGTTCTTCGATAATATCTGCCCCAAATGACGTCATCTGGAAACAACCATTGTATTTTTGAGTATTTGCAAGAAAGTGGCCAATGTTCACTTGCAATTTCTTGTTCTTCTTCAGTCCTTTCATTTGCAGTATTTCGTATTCTTCTTGCATCACGGCTTTGTCGGGAAAGATTCGATCGTCTTGATCGCAGCATTATTAATTAAACTTCACTTCACTCAAACTCAAATTTTCAACCATACCGAGTTTTATAGTTCACTTCACTGTTTATACGAATGGGCAATGGCACTATCATTATAATTGTTAATTATTTATTTAATAGAAATAGTTTTATTATTGATTTCTTACAAACATCAAATTGTCATCCATACGTCATTACATAGCTGTCATTTGTGTTTTGTTATTCCAAGTCTGATTCTTTTTTGTTATACCACGTTTTATAGTGACTGACGTTTCATGTCACACGGGAATGCTGTCGATCGGGATAAAATCCTATGTCCTTCTCCTGGCTCTAAACTACCTCCCTGCCAATTTTCAGCTAAATCGGTTCAGCCGTTCTTGAGTTATAAGTGGAGTAACTAACACGACTTTCTTTTATATATATAGATATAAAATATATTTTCGACATATTGCTCACTCTTTACTTCGATGTATCCTTACTTTTCAAAACTTAACGAGCATTTTAAATATATCTGTTATTTTGTTTCATGTTTTCAGTTTTTGTAATGTAAAATGGAAATAAGAATTTAAAAATAAAATTGAGCAAATCTTACAAAATATTTGATAGTGGCATGAACTGTGGGCACAAATATATCAACAAAATGATTTATCCAGGGCAACAAAACCACTGTAGACCAGTGTAATGAAAGTTAAGTTCTTACGCAACATTTTTACACTCTCGCAAAATCGCTGTAGAGTATAATAGTTTTGCTAACCAAACTGTTCTTTGTTTCACCTTAAATTAATCGAAATAGATGAAGAGTTATATATATGTATATCAACGAAGAGACTGACTCTCCGTCTGCCTGTGTAAAGTTTAACTTGAGTAAAACTTGAGACACCTTCATAAAACTAAATACACGCGTTCCTTGACACCCAAAGGGGATTAGTATAGCAGGGTAAAATCGGGTAGCCTCCATATACTTAATATGTATAAAGATTCTCGAACTTACAGTTGACTTTATATATTATATATTTTGGTCACTATATATGTTATCAAAATAAAATTAAAATATTATATTGTAGTTTATTTCAGAGCATGAGTGAATTCGGTTCACGACTTGACAATGACTTTCGTTATTTTAACAAACTTTATGCCCGATATGTCGATCAGTGAGTATATTAACTTCATAAAATTGCTTGGAAACATGTTATCTCTTCTTGGTGTATACCCAATATACGCGATATAATGATTTCCATCCATTTTGACTTTGCATCTGACTTAAAAACATTAGTTTTGTAAAATGTTAAAATGTCATACATTTTACAAAATCAAGTGGATTTCCAGATACCGAGCACAAACCACGAAATAAATGACACCGTTACCATTGTAGTACTCAGACTCGACTGAAGCTAAACATTTTATTACATTCAACTTTTTATTTTAGATTTTTGCGTTCATTAAATTAACCCTTTGCGGCTCCAAATTATGAATTTTGTTAATTTTATGCTTGCTAGATAATAAAGGAGCTGTTATTAACGAAAACAATACTAATATTTTTTTTTTTCAATTATCCATTTATTTTTTACTAAAGGCGTTTTGTTAGTGCTATTTAAAAAGTATGCACATTTTTGACTCCACATTTTTCACAACTTGTTTTTGTATAATCTTTGTAGCCCGGAAATTTGCACCTCATTCGTTTATCCATCAAAATCTTCCAGTGTCCGTATTGGTTCAACTTCACATCTTTGGAGG